TGTAATGCATTTTGTGACTAAAAGTACAAAATCACATTTTGCTTTTTTCAATTTTCCAAATGATCTTTGTTGAGAAACAATTTCCAATTTCAATTTCCCTACAATCAAAAAACAAAACAAAAAAGGTTCCCCTATAATTTGAGCATTCTAATCAATACCAATACAATATACAATTTTACTGCTGAGTATTATACCTTTCTGAAGACAACTGTAAATCTATATGACAGAAAATGTAATGTATTTTAATTAGTGACATATTAATGAGTGTCCACTGATGCTTACCAGTATAGTAAAACTGTGGATGGAGCAGAAAAGGACACTGAGCGCAGCAGCCTGGAGGATCATAGTTGGTTGTGGGACAGCAGCAGCAGACCAAGAGAATGCCTGAGGAAAACAGAAGGGTTTGAATTTATATAGGTAGGAAAGTCAGCTAACTTTCATCAACTTTCCTTCCTAATATGGCATACTGCTCACCAAAGACTTATTGACTAACTCTGTTCAATTGGAAGTGGCAGTTATTACCTAAACCAGACGGTTAGTTGTGTAACATGTGGGCTTTGTTTTCTGCAGTTTCCCATGTGAAAAGCATATCTTTTTTTATTATTAAAGCATAAAAAGAAAAAAAAACTACACACCAAAATAGCAAATATCACCACAACTAAGACAATCCATTCCCATAGGGCTGCACAGTAGTAGTCTGTATTAATTGCAGATATACAATACTGAAGCACATTTGAAAACTTTACTCATTTCAAAAATATATTTAGTGTCGGTGATCCTCTCAGTTCATTGTTCCATACCAAGAAGGTTGTGCATTCAAATAAAATATCTTACTAATAGGTATTAATCAATACACCCAAATATTTCATCTCCTCTGCTTTCCAGATAAAAGGCGTTGATCCAAGATCTGTCATGTATGTACAATGATTTAATGGTATGGCTTCACATTTGGTCCAGTTTTTTTTATAGCCTGACTGAGACTGCTGAATGCTTTAATGCACGGGCTCCCTGTAAAATTCAGAATAGAATATTTTTTATGGCTGCAACACTAGATATATTCCATTTCTTGAGCATAATTTTATACACTTTTGGATCACTTGCTGTCCTCTTAAATGATAAAGAAACGTATTGTGTTGATGAAACCTTGAAAGATGCAGGGTCTGGCAGCCCTGGAGAGGCTATAGAGGCTCAAACTCCATATATGATTAGTTGGTATTCTCCACTTAACATGACATTGCTTTGTCTTTTTAACTTGCTCTTTAGTTCATCAGAGACAACCCCTCAATGGAATGGTGGACCACTTTCCTTCTAGAAAAAGGACAGTAGTAGTAACAGACTCGGAGGTTATAGATTAGTCTGTGAATTATGCTCTGTTAATAAACAAGGTGATAACTTCAACCTTTGACAGACACCAACAGAGTTACAGTTAACAACATAATCAAAGCACTTAATTACAAGTTCAGCATGCATCACATCAGTGGTTCCCAACCTGGGGGTTGGGACCCCCACTAGGGGTCACCTAAGCTTTACAGGGGGTCACAAGGTCTTCTCTTGATTGTAAGTGATAGTAAATGGAATGGTAAATGGAGCTGTACTTGTATAGCGCCTTTCTAGTCTTCCTACCACTCAAAGCGCTTTTACTCACCCTTTCGACCACACATTTCACTCCAGTGATGGGCAACAGCCCATTCCTACAGAAAATAACTCTTTCATATCACACCGAGCACAGCATCGGGAGCAGAATTTGGTTCAGTATCTTGCTCAAGGATGACTGTCGACATGTGGCAAGGAGGAGGTGGATTTAGTGGAGGGGACCCCTC